CGGTATTACGATACCAAAAGACTCCCTTGTTCACATACCCGTCTACGCTATGCACAGAGACCCTGATAACTTTCCCAATCCAGATGACTTTAAACCGGAAAGATTTTTAGCCGAAAATATTGCACACAATTCCTATGCGTACCTACCGTTTGGGGCCGGACCTCGAAATTGTATTGGTATGCGACTGGCCCAGATGGAAGTCAAAGTGGCCTTGGTAAAGCTTGTGACTAGTTTTATTTTCTCTACAACCAAGGTTAGTTATTGATGTAAACCTGATTAATATTATAAAATTAATTTTGAATACTTTTAGAAACCCCTCGAATGCCACTTCACTGGAGGGCTCATTGTTCCCAAACAGGTCGAGCTTACTGTACAAAAAAGGACTTTAACTTAATTGTCTCGTACAGGTACAGTACAGGTACAAGCTCATTTCTTGTTAATATTAAAATCTTTATAATTGTTTGACAAAGGTTTGTTTTGAGTGCAAAATTATTATATTTTAGGCAATTATTATTATAGACAATTATGTTGAGTTTATTAACTTCAATATTAAGAACTAATTTTCTATAATTGCTTATTTTTAGATATAATTAGAAAATAATTGTTTTAATAAATAACATTGTATTTAATGAGCTTACATCCAAAATAATAAATGGATTTTAATTTGATTTCATTGTACAAGCTAATTTCTTGTTAATATTAAACTTTTAATGGTCAAAATTGTTTAACCAAAGTTTGTTATAGGGGTTAAATAATTATGCAATTATGGGTAATTATGTTAAGTTAATTAAGTTCAATATTACGAATTAATTTGTTACAATTGCTTATTTTTAGCTATAAAAAGAAAATAATTGTTTTAATAAATAAAATTGTATTTAATAAGTTTAATTAACTTTTAATAATTAATTCTAGCAATTTGTTCAATAAAATATATCATTTATATTGCTTATAATGTTTAGTTAGCATTAAATAAGTTTGTGTTGAATTATGAAAATATTTTTTTTAAACATATAATTTTATAAATTATGTAACTTTATTTAAAATGTACACTAAAACTTATTATTTTAAAACTATTAATTAAAAATATGTTGATTTTATTATTAATATTGAATTATATTCTTACTTGTGATAAGGTTTATGCATTTAATATTTGCATGAATTTTTATGGAAAAGATAATTTTAATTATAATGTAACATGGCCATTTATAAATAACACAATAACTTTTATGCCATCACCCACACCACCATTTTCCATGATAAGTATTATTAGAAATGAGACAGGTCAAGAATTGCACCAGGTTTGTGGTCCCCTAATGATATTGTTAAAAGAATTTGCTGTTAAAAATGGAGCTGGGTAATTTGAAAAATTTATTGATATTTTTTAGTTGCAGATTTTATAATTACTTTGAATTTTGATATAAAATATTGTTCATAATTATTGGTCAATAAGATTTATAATGTACTAGATACTAATTTAATTAATTAAAAATTACAATTTTTCATTTATTCATTATATACTTTATTTGTATTATCTTATAATATTAATTTTAATTTAAAGTTTACAGTATTATAAACATTCGGATAAACTGGATGAGGCGGTATCTGACCTGATACAATTAAAACCCGATATTCTGCTAGGTGCCACCGATGATGAATTTTTCAAATTATACATGACCAATTTTGAAATGTTCGGGCTTACCTACATAAAAACTTGCATAATAGATTTTGAGCAAACGAGTCACATTGCTTTCCGAAGATACCCTGGTCAAAATGATATGTTTTCCTATTTTAAAACAATGGACCAACGTATCACATTACTATTATTGTTAAGCATGGTATTATTCACATTTATATTTACCATAATTAATAGAAACGGTCAAAATATCAAGATATTATCAGTGACATTTTTCAAAAACTTGCATTTTATTTTTAACACAATACTNCCTATTTTAAAACAATGGACCAACGTATCACATTACTATTATTGTTAAGCATGGTATTATTCACATTTATATTTACCATAATTAATAGAAACGGTCAAAATATCAAGATATTATCAGTGACATTTTTCAAAAACTTGCATTTTATTTTTAACACAATACTCGGAGTTAACATCCCACAAAAATGGCTAGCTCAATTTGAAAATAAATTTTTACTGCAAGCGTGGCTTATGGGCACCCTTGTAATCACAATGACAATTGGAAATATTTTATTAGAAAACTTTATCAAGGCAATTCCTGATAAAATAGTGGATTCGTGGGCAGACATATACGAGCGCCGGGATGTCAAGATTATAGCCCTGGAAAAGGATCCTATGGTCAGGTATACAGAGATGAGTGACTCAGATATGGCTAAAGATTTTGCGAAACGTTTGGAGACTTTTGTGTTTAAAAATTACGAGGACTTAGAGTTTAATATATATTTAGTGAAGGGGTTGTCCAATGGACGGGTAGCTTATATCAGAAATAAAATGACCTTGCTATATCATTTACTAAGGTTACAAAATGACTTTCCCCATATATCGGATTTTCTAGCTAATATACATGTGTCAAGTGAGGGGAGTTATTATCAAGGCTATTTTATTAATGTAAGATCTGACTGGAATAATCAAATGATTGCTCAGTTAAATAAGATGTATGTTTATTGTCTTGTTTGTTTTAAAATTTATGATATTAATGTTACTTTTACAGGATTATCATTTGTTATGAATCTGGGTTATACGGAAAATGGAGGGCCGGTATGTTGGATAGTTATGGTTATGACAAACTATTAAATAGAAATAGCAAAACAATTGATTTTAAATATGATGATATAAATTTACGACAATTTGATGATGTATTTTATTTAACAGTAATTTTATTATTAATCAACATGCTTATATTTTTAATTGAGTTTTTAGTATTTTGCATATGTTAAAATTTCTATTATATAGATAATAAGAAATTTATTAAATAAGAATTTTTTAATTAACTTTATTGCTTAATATTGTTAAAGATATTTTTATTGATTTAAATTATATAATATGTTTAAAAATAAACTAATAATGTTTTTATAATTAGTAAATAAATAATATTATAATTAAAATGTAATAACTTATTTTAATGTTATTCAATGTTGGGTATAAAATATAACAATTTATTTATTTTCAACAAAACCTAACCTAATTAAATTTAAAAACCACAGTTAAAAGACTTATTCTTATTGTACTGAAAAACAGTTAATCATGTAATAATTATTGTTCATAAAGTATTTTCAATACTACCAATATGTGTAATATAAGGTATAATATGTTATCTAAATCTAACGATTCAATAAAAAAAAGTATGTTGAAGGTGATATAACTTTAAGTTATCTCATATAAGTTTTATTAAGCTCTCTCTCTCTCTCTCTCTCTCTCTCTCTCTCTCTTTCTCTTACACACACACTCCCTTATATTAGTGCATAGTATAAACTGTACCTAGATTATATAATAGAATTACAAAATTTGTGTTTTTTATTTGAAATTCCTTTATAAATTTTGTAATCAAGAATAAAAATAAAAATTTATTTACTAATTATAGCAACATTTATAGCTGAAGAAATTATAACATATTATTTATATTAGTTATACAGTATATTATAAAGGTCCAATATAAGTCAAAAATATTAATCTATGATTAATAAATTTCCTGAAAATAGTTACAAATTATGTGTTATAAAAACTTTATGATATTTACATTACCCAGGTTCACTCAATGATTATACAATTATTTCCATGATTTCATACCACAATAAAAGCTATAAATTTTGTGAAAATAGTCTTTTTATTAGACATAATAACTCATATAAAGTACATTAAGTCCCCATAGATAACTACACCTAAAATACGTTTTGGCGCAAAAATGTCCTGAACAAAAAATAATAAAATTGTACCGGTAATATAAGTTATCAGTTTTAATAGATTTATGCTATTATTTCACCGGTATTAACTAATACATATTTACTAAACTATTTATATATTAGGTCGTACGGAAAGGTTGTTTCTGGCTATAATTTAAATTTCTCCGGAATGGCTTAA